AGTCGCGCGGGTGCGAGTTTTTCGGTAATCCCCTACTCGCGGGACCCGGTTTCGGTTTCTTTTCACCTAACCGCGTTTCGGTGGCGGGCCCGGTTGCCCACCACTTCACTCTTCATGTCGTCTCTCCTTGAGGGTTTATTGTATAAAAGCAGGAGAATTTTCATCGTGCTCATCAGTCGCAAACACGACGAACTGAGTCCGAAATTCGTACAGCATCATGAACGCCAAGGTATAATCGGATACAAAAGTTTTTTAATAAAAATTCATTGACGAAAAATCGTCCAAAAAATAAAAAATCTAGATCTCAAAAAAAAATTGACGTGCATTGCTACGAGGATGATTTGTATTCTTAAAAAAAGAATAAAACATTCAATTCGTTGCAGAAGATAAACAGTTTTGCAATTGATGTAAAATTAAAAGAATTTTGTATAGCTAAATTAATCAAGAAATAACAAAGAATATTTACAGTAAATATTTTTTATTTTTAATTTAAACTAATTTAACGTATTTATAGTTAATGTAAATTAAAATTAAAATTTATTTGTTTATTAATATGAAACACAGAAAGATAGCGAATGATTTTTTCAACTATTCTTATTAAATTATCTAAGTTTTTATTTTTCTTTTTAATTTTATTTTTCACGTTTTTATTTTTAATGTAAATAATTTAAATATATTTTTAATGTAAATATTTATGTATTATGTAATATATTTTTAATGTATTTAATATATTTGTTTTTAATTATAAAATATGCCTAAATATGATGTTGTTCAATTACATTAAAATAAGTTAAAAAATTAACGTGTTGTTATGCGATCAATATATTTACAAACTTTTTAAAAAAAGCAAAGAGTATAAATCTTCTAATTTACAGGTGGTGGTTCTCTTCGCTCTGGTGGCGCTTGCTTTCGCTGAAGAAACGAAAAGCGACGATACAAAGAAGATTGAGACCACAAAGAAAGATAAGCGTGGTCTTTATGGAGCCTTAGGGTACGGTCTTGGTGGGTTGGACTATAGTCTCGGTGGATTAAACACGTACTCGTCCCTTCCGCTCACCAGCGTGAGCCACGGTGTTTCTACCATCTTGACGAAGGAAGTCGCTGTACCCGTGGCCCAACCAGTTGCCGTACCCATCGAGAAACACGTTCCGGTCCCGTTTAAGGTATCGATACTCCCTATGTTTTTCCTTTCCCAAATATTTCGTTAGAATACGTGTAATTTACAATTATACATATAATGAAAACTCGATAACAAGATTTAATAGAGAGTATCTGCGATTCTTTCAATTTTCTTAGTTCAATATCACATCTTACTACTAATGGAAAATAGTAACGTTTCTCGGAGTCAATTTTCTGGAAAGCACAATTAGATGAAAGTGAAGCAATTAACCATGACTTATTGAAGAAATAATAGTTTTACTATATTCATGTGTTTCAATAGAAAGATCACTTAAAAGCGATTATGATTTCTCCAACGATTTCTAATAACATAAAGATAAAGATTATTTTACAATTACGATTTTTTGCATATTTTCAATTTCTTAAATATTAACATAAATATTTTATTTTATTAGATCTTAAACATATTAACATAAATATTTTATTTTTAATTTAATGTGTATTTTTATTAGATCTTTAATGTGTTACTGCATATATTCTGCTTCCAATGTAAATTAAAATCTACGAATTTAATGAACCTTTTCACAAATATTTATACAAATATTTATTTCTTAAAAGATTTTTGTTTGATAAAAGTATAGAGTTAGTTTCTAAAATAATATGTATTAAAATCTAAATAAAATATAGTAATCTAGACTTTCAAACATACGCATTTCTACTACGCTATAAAGTAATAGTAATACGAAAAGAGATATATCTACTGTAACAAGTGGAGCGTGATTAGAAATGCGAGATCTTCGTTTCATGCATGATGTTTTGCGTCTTGGGAATCAATCATCTTGATCCAAACATCACTTATAATAACAAAATTAATCGAATCTGCATTATTATGTACATATAATATCTGTATTATTATAATGTATACATTTGCATTTTTAATGAAATTCTTCGAAATCAAAAAATTAAATAGATGATAGAATAGCAAAAAATTTACTAATTTAGTAATTGAATAAAGCAAACTGTTTAGCTTCTAATAATAAATTGAATAATAAAAAATAAGCTACAAGAAGCTATTATATTAAGCTTTTATTATAATATATATTTTTATCTTATTTATCTTCTTATTTAATTTTTAACATAAATACGAGAATGAAAAAGAAAACTAATTTATTCATAGGCTTGTCTCATCAATAATCAAATTTGATCTTTCTTTTTTTAGGTACCATACGCCGTGCCTGTCGACCGTCCGTATCCCGTCCAAGTACCCAAACCTTACCCAGTCGAAGTCACCAAGCATGTTCCTTTCGCAGTAGACCGCCCCGTACCCGTTCCCGTCAACGTTCCAGTTAAGGTTCCAGTTCCCGCCCCGTACGCCGTCAAGGTGCCTCAACCCTACGCTGTCCCCGTCGTCAAACACGTGCCGGTACCAGTTGAGCAGCCGATCGTTTACACGAAATTGCACGCTGGTCTTGGATACACCGGTCTTGGATATAGCGGATACAGCGGATACAATGGTTACAATGGTTATCCGAGCTATGGATACTCTTCTTGGTAAAATGGCAACTCTGAGAGCAATCGCTCTTCGTCATCAGCGCAAAGCATCACTTGGACCGCTTGGATCTTTCAGAGCTTTTAGTGTTCATCTTCTTTAGGAAAGCGTTCCCAAAGATAGATTATATATATTAATATGTGTTAATATATATTCTTCTTCGTTGACAATAAGTGTGATTACAGTGAATACTTCACGTTTCGAAAATTAAGGAACAATTTGGCAAGTTTTTCATGTGGAATTCTTTTGAACATTTTGAACGATAAAACAAGTATTTGGAAAAGAAGAGCATCCTCTGATATTGAAAAAAATAAAGACATTTCCGTGACGAAAGAATTCGAGTGGTGTTCGCGATCATCAAGTGTGACTATTTAGGTCTATATGTTTCTACCTGTAACTTCATTATATGATTGTTTATTATCGAAATAAATCTTTTCCAATAACAAGATCGTATTTTTATTTCCTCTTATTATATCTTCTATTCTTTTTTTCAATAAAATTTGCGAAAGATATTTGTTGTTTTATAAGCCATGATGTAAATGTCGTGATGTAAACGAAGATATTACAGAAAAACGTAAGCAAAAGAGACTAAACAATCCTTTCTCTTATATTTTACAATATTATTATATATATTTTTAGATTTTACATTTATTTGTATTTTTTATTTATGGTTATTTATATAAGCTTTTTCGTACTTATAATTAATATCTATACAGCCGTAAAGATTTATATAAAATAAACAATATATTGGAAAAATCAACGCGATAAATAACTATTTATGATAAACAATTTAAATTTTTGATTACGTGGACATTTTTTTACGAATTCAGATTATAAAACAAGATTGAAATTGTATAATCCATGGGAAAGCGAAATTTAAGACTACATTATGAGAAATGGTTATTTGCGGCGGTGAAATGTCCATTAAATGGAGAACGAGGACACGTTAAACACGCGATTAATGAAATTTGCATGCGGAGCACACGCGCCACAAAACGTACATTGAATACACATATATCGTAAGCAATCCCGTTGAGCAAGTCCAAGTCGTAACGCTATTTGTATACCTGCCCAATAAAAAATGTCGCAATTTTATATTTATGACTATACGCAGAGCGTTTCGTGAGAGGCAACAGATTCTAAGGAATAAGGATGACACCATTCTAATAAGTATAAATGTTTTATTAAAAAATAATACTAGCTATGTGAGTGTATTCCAAAATTCATTGCCAGTACTGAAAATTTATGATGCACGTAAACTATGAATTTTCAGTGGCGACAGTGAATTTCGGAACACAGCCACTATATAGTATTAAAATAATCTCACACAACCAAAGAAAAATTATAACAACAAAAACAAAAATTCAACAATTTTTAAAAAACCTACTTGTCTATGTACAAATGCGCAATCTCAATTCTTCAGAAATCAACGATTAAACATATATTGTATATATTTTAACTTTATAGTTAATTGCATTAACAAAAATAGTTATGTCAAAGAGAAAAATTTTATATGTGTTCTATTCTTCTGTTATATTTCTTTCCATTATATTTCTTCCAAATTTAATTGAATAGAACCTATTTCAGAAGAATTGCGACATTTATAAACATATATAACATTTACGTTATATATAGCCTCGACTCCTCTTTCTATTTCTACATCCAATCATAAATCGTGAGAATAAGATTATATTTGATAGAAATCAATTGTTTAATCGTTTTATAACAATTAAAAAATTAAACATGGGACTTTAGAAATCAGCGTTATAATAATTGCACTTTTTTGGGATTTGGGATTGGGACTAAAATCCTCGTATAATTTGTATCGTTATTTTATTTGTCGGCAACAAATAAAATAGCGATACAAATTATACAAGAATTTTATTATATCAATCCCAAAAAAACGCAATTATAGCGCCGATTCCTAAAGACCCATGTTTAATTGTTTTAATGTAAGAAATCTTTATATTTAATAAGAAATCTCTATTTTATTGTATCATTTTGCAACATTTATCTTTTTCCATGTTATAAAAATACTTTGATGACGATTACTGTGGGAGAAATACCTATTAACGTTATTTCTTCAGTAATAATGCTTAATGAATTGTATCCCGCAACATAAATGTATACAAGTATCTAATTAATATTTCCGAAATGATACAAAACGAGAGTATATAAATTTTAAATCTTTCTAATGAATAATATAAATTTTTATGCATTTTAAGTATAAAATTAATTTTTTGTTCAATTATTCTTTTTTCCTTTCAAATCTAATTCAAAAGTGATCTGAATAGTTGCGATAAATTTGGAAAATATCACTTTATATTCACGTATCGGATTATCGACTTTGAAAGTGGAATGAGTTAAGTTTCCAAGAAAGGGCAACGTCATTTAATACTCGTATGTTATTTATTTAAACCCTTTAACATTTCGCTTAAACCACTTTCAAAATGACCGGTTTGCGCATATCGTACGTCAATGATTTACTTCTCGATTTACTTTTCCTTTCAGCCACACAGACCTCGCACACCGCCATAATCAGTCGTCCTGTCGCATTTCGAAAGCTAATGATCCGTCGAGTAATCGGGTTGAGATGGCTGGAATTGAACCTGTTGGTCACTATTTTGCTGATCGTAGGATTCATGGCCTTGAGAAGTATAAGTGCTGTAGTGAGTCGTCTCATGGCTAGCATGATCACCTTCAGTTCCAGCGGAAATGCCACCTTCATCATGATTCGATTGTGGAATCGGAATCGCCTTCGGTACAGGGACAAAGATCGGTTTGGTCAAAGTAACCGGATGAGGTACAGGAACCGGATGCGGTACAGGCACCGGTTTAGATATCAGGAACGGCACCTAAATTAATTAAATTAACTATTCATATAGCAATCTTGTTCCAACTCTCCTATTATTATTTATACACGCTGTTAATGCGTGCTCTCTCTCTCTCTCTCTCTCTCTCTCTATATATATATATATATATATATATATATATGTGTGTGTGTGTGTGTGTGTGTGTGTGTGTGTGTGTGTGTGTGTGTGTGTGTGTGTGTGTGTGTATTAATTATTGCAACCGACCAATCCCAAAAAATCGAGAAGAAATTGAATTTTTAGTAATTTAGAATAAAATTTTTACAGATTTAAAATACTAGTAGCATTAAATAATCAATTTAATTTGTGACTATTCTTATTTCAGTTGATTGTGTTCAAGTCCGAAAGTAATTAGTGAGCAGTTATATATCTGAAATAAATATATTTAAAATACATGTAGAAATATTATTCCATCAAATTTTGATCGTATATAGATAGCGCTTCTTTTACTTAGTTAATTTATTCATATGTAATTATCTTATTCTAACTTATTATTAAATCAACTATATTTATTTATAATACGATTAATCTTTCTTAAGCAATTAAAAGAGTATGTAAGAA